ATATATATATATATGTTCAGGGCTCCCTTGCCTTCAGGTCTTCGCACTCTGCACGCAGTCGCCGGAGCCCTTCCTCCAGGCTCGAGGCGTCCAGCAGCGCAAGCACCTGAGCATTGGCTGCTACGACTAGAAAGGAGGCTTGCGAAAAAGAGGGTGGTTGAAAGTTTCAGGGGTTCTGGCTCGGCTTTGGCGATATGCCGGCTTGGTTTTGCTCCCTTCCCCTTTTCGTGGGGAGTGGGAACAGATTCCGCAGGGTAGGAGGGGAAAGGCCTGGGCTTCGGGCTCAGTGGATCCAGCCAACTTCTTGGACCCCTTCTGCCCTGAGACGCGAAAGCCAAAAGCTTGAACCCCAACAGAAATCCTCCTTCAGAAAGCTGGCCTGCGCCAGCTTTCCGGACAGGCCCCAGAGCCCTGGCGAAGGAGCTCCAACCCGAACCTCTCGAGGGACCTTCGACACAGAGAGCTTCCATTGTGCATGTGCATACATTGCGTATGTGTGTATATATGTCTGTCTGTATGTATGTATGTATGTATGTATGTATGTATGTGTACATATTCATTCATGTATATATGCAGTGATGTTTGCATTCATATTTCTCATGAGTATATATGTAGGTAGTATATACATGTTTTGCGTACGTACATATACATATATATAATATATATATATATGTATATATATATGTATATATATATATGTTTATACATACATACCTTGCACATAAACACACACACACACATATATATATATATAGCATATGCATACATTTGTACATGCACGCCAGCATGCATAAACACATGTACATACGTACGTACGTACATACATACAGACACAAAGACATACAGACGGAAACATGTACGCACACATATTTTCACATACGAATACACGCCTGCGTACATGCATACATACATACATACATACATACATACATACATACGTGAAATCCACCCATCCATCCATACATACGTACATACATATTCATACATACATGCATCTGTCCATCCATCCACCCAGCCACCCAGCCGGCCGCCCAGCAAGCCAACATAAAATGATACATGCCAAAGCACTACATGCGTAGACACGAACGTCACATGCAGGTATACCGACGTACATACGTACTTATATGTACATACATACATACATACATACATACATACATACATACATACATACATACATAGGCTTTAGGGTTTTAGGGTTTAGGATTAAGGGTTCAGGGTTTTGGACTTAGTATAGGGGTTTAGGGTTTTT